ATCAAATGCGTATCATTTCGGGTAAATGTTTATAGAATGTTTATAGAATATATTTGCTCTCAATTAAATTGAATGCAGTGCAGTTAAGTGCACACAGCAACATAAATTTAAAATTTCTCTTTGTTATTTCAACTGGATAATATTCGGAAATTATTACTAAAATCTCAATCAATTAATAATACTTTATTATTAGCAATTACTGTATATTGCGTCTACAATTCGCCCATAATTAGGATATTTATCACAATTACCTCGTATATTTCATTATCTTTAAATGCAAATTATAGAGATGTTTCAATTCAGGGAGCATTATTAACGCTAATTTCGTAACTTTATTATTTTACCACGCGGGATTACGCGTTGCAAAATGAAATAATCGATACACGGCGCCATTGTTTCGCGCACGAGTGATGGATTAATCCGTCCCTGTCCGCCGGCATAATCCACCTTGCGTAACTGCACAATGCCTGTACTTATGGCGAAGCCACGACCCTATATGCCGAAACACGATGTATGACGTGGCGTCGAGCGTTTTCACGTAACTGACCTGCAGCGGTTCCGGATGCGCCGCGGCGAAGTTAACTCCGCGCGTATACAGTGTTACACAGTTCCGGTAACACAACCCATTGCCTCGGGTCGCGTAACGGCGTGGCGCGTTATACGGCCACAAATATTTGTGTCGGTCGAATCGAATTACATCGCTTCTGTTTACATTCGCCAGCGCTTTTGGCGAACTGGCTCGGTAATTAAAGTACGCATACTAAAATATGCGTGACGAGGTCGCTTCCTCGCTCGCCTGGCAATTCATTTTTAATGAGGAATCGCGCGAAATATCGCGATGAATAATTCCCGCGGTGGCATGCGAAAATACCAAGTTTTCGGCGCGTCGCCTCTCTGTCGAAGTTTATGCGCGGTTAACGAACGCGTTGCACATATTGCAGCGTTTCACCACGGACGAAAGTTTAATTAAAAACGGCTATGACTGCGTACGCCCGCGAAAGCTTTCCGTATACCTAACAACGAGTTTCATTTGCCAAGAAATATTTGCACATGCTACCAGCTAGCGCTGTGTAGACGTATGATAATAATAAACGCCGTGTACCAGTCGTGAAAGATTAATAAAAACGTACGATACAAAAAATATGAATTGCCTGAAATAAATTGTAAGCGAGGGAACAAAATTTTCACATTCAATGTGAATTATAAAGATTTCACATTTTAGCAAATATTTTAGCACAAAAAAATATAATATACCTGTTCAGATGTTAGGGTATTTATCTCTCTAATTGCACAAAATGACATTTTCAACCCATCGAGTGGACGCCATCGAACTAGCGTCGCTCGTCCGTTATGAGTCGCTTAATTAAAAACAATTTCATTACGAATGGAGCTATCCGCGGAATCCGAGGCTCTCGTATTTCGAGGCTCGTTCGCCGGGCGCAAATTTCCGCGCGATATTCGATGCGGCGTGTCGAGACAGCGTTCCGGAAAACTACTCGATTACCAGGTCGGATTATCGATCGATTTTTGCCGAGCAATTTTGTGTACGATATACACACGCATCCCGCCTCTCTATACATGCCCCCGCAAAAGCCGACGTGCTCACGCGAAATAGGATATTTTTCAGTAGAGTGACGAGGTGGGAGCCTCTCGCATCGGTAACTTTCGCGACGCGGTAATTGAGGGTAATTTCGCAAGGCCAATTTGCGCGGAAATTCAAAACCGAAAAATTTGCCCGCGCAAAGCCGTCGGACTAGCTGGCTGGCTCCCGTACGCCCATATGCGGATACTTCCCCCGTCCCACCCACTGATCTTCGTTCATCTCCCGTGAAACCGGCGTTTCACCTGCATCATCGGACAAACCTCGTTTCCTCCCGTAATTCCATTTTCGCGCAGGCCCCAGCGATCGCATGACTCGATTTTTCCACAATTTCACAGAGGGGAATTTCAATTAAATTACTCACCCCTCCGCGCGACGGTATCTCTCCCACTCATATACGGTTGTATACGCAGCGAGAAACAGAAAGAGAGCGGAAGAGCGATCAAAGGAGAGAAAGGAAAGAGAAAGAGAGTGAAAAAATAACGCGTTTTCCGAGCGTAGCGCGGATACACCCGGTGACGGAGATCGTCATTTGTCGCTAATGGCGACGTCCTTTCGCTGTTCTCTCGCACGAGATTGCCGATGATTAATCAGTCGTGGCAGTCTCATTTTTAGGCACGCGACGGCGATTACTCCAAAGCGAGACACACGGCGCGTTCCAATTGCTTCTCTTTTTTTTTTTATGTCACTCGGCAGCGCGCGAATTTCGACCCCGGCAATGACGCGCGTTGAAATTGCTTTTTTGATTGTCCGCTCCGGAAGTTAAATCCAATCAAATCATTCTCATTTACGGCACTTTCATCGAACCAATATTATGAAGCGCACATGTGCACGCCAGTGTAAAATAGTAACGCTGTATGGAACGCATCGAAGAGTGTTACGCGCAAGTAGCGTGTTAGTTTTCAATTACCGCCTCGCCTTTCTATATTCGCCATTGGCCTATATAAGATAAAACTTTTAGAATTTATAATTTTTTTGATTGACAAACAATAAATTATACCAATAAATGTATAATTAGCAAATAATAAATTGGAAAAATACAAGATAACAAAATGCGATTGCAATGTATGCAATCTACATATGCGCGATTTTTAGAACCATACAAGACCAATCATAAATTCCGTCTTTCTAGTCTCGCATAGATGTACAAAATTTTAATAACAAAGCATGTTGAAATAAATAGTCAATAATATTCTACGGAAGCCAACTGCAAGCAAGGCGCATTTACCTGCAGCGAGTGAGGCAACAAGCAAGTTGACTCCGTGGAAATCCCCGAGAGAATCGATGTATGACGTAATGCCATAGGAATGAAGCGTTCCCCTTCGCCTCCCTGCTTGGCTTGGCTCGTTGGCCAGCCAACCCCTTGCTCGGCTTACCAGTTCGCGACATCGCACGGCGACAATGGACGCCGACGACGCCCTCCCGATTCCCTCCCTCGGTGCATCAGCAATAAATGCATCAGCGATGAATGCGATGCATGGCCAGAAATGCATAGCTTGCAATGAGTGCTGCGGGCGGCGTCGCATCGCGAATGCAGTTCCCGGTGCCTGCAGCATGAGTGGATTACGTAGGCGAACGCGATCCCGAAACCGCGTTATTCCGCTGCAGTCAACGCGACTCCGCAGTCATGTGCATTTCTTCCCTCTTTTTTTTCGTGATCCCCGCTCGGACGCAACTGGGAAGGTGAGCAGCCCACCGCAAGCCCTTCGGGGCGAGTTACGCACGCTCGATCGGCGACCAAACCCACCCTCCACTCTCCACGTTATTTCTCTTTTTTTTTTCTAGTTATCCTTTTTGCTATGCCGCGCGGCCCCGATATTCTGGCCGTTTTTACTCTCTTCTACTTCCTCCGCCTCCAGCCGCTACTCTCGCTCATTTGCCTCGTTTTCGAATGTACCTGCGAGACAAAAGGCTTTTCATCGCGGTACACCGAGCCGCTCGAGTTATTAAATCCGCCGCTTGCGGCATTTAGCTTTTCGCGTGTGGGTATTCAAGAAAATAAATGCCGCCCGTTACTGCTCGAAGTCTCGCTCGTTATTCATTTGTGTTCGTCTTACGGCACGTTAATTCCTCTGTAATGCAGTGTACAGCGATATTTTTAACGTTTCCTATTCGCGCAGTGCTACGTTTTTTTAACCATGGAAAACGTAGAAAAGCTCGTTCCAATTTGCTCAAGGCGAGTGCTCTTATGCTTCGCTACGCGCAAAAAAAAAATGGCAAAGTCGCAGACGACTGTATGCATTGTGGGGAAATTAAAAGCCGAAACCTTAATAAACTCTCCGCGAACTTGGCGATTTTCCGGCTTCGCGAAACGTAAAACAGTTGGACGATAGGTATGACGGACGTCTGTTATAGGGTTTCTTAAAAAAAGGTCGGTTTTTGATTGACCATGGACTACGAGAATACCGCAGAGAAATATTTCGGAGTCTTCATCTTCCATGTATATCCATTACACATATCACACCGATACTTTTATGCATGTCTGTAGATATGCTTGAAGCTCTTCAATCATTTTATACATTTTAAATAAAAGTAGCAAACGTTATTTTTATTTATTAATAATGTAAAAATATTATTCGTAAACATTAAATTATACTAACAATTTACTTTTTTGTAAGTAAAGTAAAATGTGCTGAATGAGAAAGATGATGTATAGAAGATCGAAGATGTTAAATATATATATGTAAAATAAAATTTAATATTCATTTACTTAATTTTTGTCAAAAATTATTTTTAATTGTTTAGAATCGCAAATAAAAAAAGATTTAAAATTAAAGCAGCAAAAGATTGGAGATGCCGGGGATCGAACCCGGGACCTTTCACATGCAAAGCGAACGCTCTACCACTGAGCTACATCCCCGAACTATCTATACCTTCTTTCTCATCAAAGATAGGTGACATATCAATTAAATCTATACTTGATATAAATTTATATTTAAAATAAAACATTTAACCAAATATTTACTTAAATAATCAGATATTTGTCTTAAAAAACATTTATCAATCATTATTGCAATAATTATCATACGTCATTACATGCATAAATTGTACTACACTTATTTTCACTTAATTATATCAGTTTTAACCGAAATATTTCATCCGCAATCAACATTGTAAATAACAATGATCTAAAAATATTTCGTAATACTTATATGACAAGTTGAATCGTGCGACGCGTCATAGTGAAGAAGTTATCCGTGCCTATCGCGCGGTTATTATCATGTACACGTACAGTAGTGCGCTATACGTGCTGGAGAATTATGAGAGTGGCTAAAAGTCGTGTCCCCCCCCGTCGCGTGACTTATGCATCGTCGTGCTCTAATGAAGATCTATCGTTCGCTACAGTTCGTACTTTTATCCTCAACGCGCGTCGCCTGCCCGTCGTACTGTTTCTCGCATTCTTACTTTTTTCCATTCCGCGAGACGACTCCTGACGCACGATAATGTTTCGTCACGTTTCTGAATAGTTCTTATCTCGTTCAATTTGTATTCACGAAGCTCGTACATTATTTCAACGTGAATCAGACGATAATATGATCAACGCTATTGTTCGAATAACTAAAATGTATGATATTTGATATATAAAAAAAATATGAATAGTTTGAAATCATTTTATTGTTTATCAATTATCGATCATTCGCGCTACTGTGGCACGCTACGATTCATTACGTGTTGATATATTCTTAATTACTTTGCGGGTGTGTTGTGGAACTAGTCGGTAATCCGAGACTGCGCTCCAAGCAAGTTTTATACATATATCGTAAGTAACTTTATGCTACATTATAAACTCAAACTGTATATTAGGTCGCAATGCGAGAGAAAAGAGAGAATAATATATTAGCATTCTTGAGTAATAATAATTAATAATAATACTCTTCTTGATAAAAGATGAAAATCTATATATTAAAAATTCTTTTTTCTTGATACATATTTAATTCGAGAGCGTTCACTGCGGTTTTCATAAATATCACGTTACACGCGTCTTATTGAATATGTTATGATCCTATATGTCGTTTAATTTTCTTTCCCTATTTGCAGCGCGCAAGTCAATATTTTACGATAACTTAGTAACTTGCAATTTGATACTAGCTTTTAAATATTTTTGTACATTTGAAAACTTGATAAAGCGTAACTTGACACCACCGTAATGTGATATTTTGGAAGCAGATGAATAAGAACGAGTATCTTATCGTATAAATCCGAGAATCTCCCTCTCCGTAAATCCAAAGGCAAACAGTAACATGAGAATGATAGCGCAGTGTTTTAAAACAATGTTTCGGCTTACTTCTTAAAAGCACAGTAAATTAGCGCTTTAATACTCTCGTCAATAGCGACTGTTTTAATTCTAAAAATAAACGTAAAATTTTATTATTTACCTTAGAACATAAATTACGACAAGCTTATCATCTCGATGTCTCGACAAAATTTTATAAATAAATCAGACCACGTATTATCTTAGTCTTCACATAATACGTGAAAGATTCAAAAACCACGCGCTGGCGAGCGAAATATTCTCTTTTAAATTTTAAAACACCGGATCACTTCCAAGCTCCTTACGCCACCAATATTTCACCGTGCCTCTTAAAGACTAAACCCTTTGTGCACGGGAGTTCTAAGAAGGCATACTTTACAGCAGCGTATTACGCCCATCACGTGGGTATGAAGTAATAACCACCCCCGAACTCCACTCCCTATCTCTCTCTCTTTCTTTCTCGAGAACCGACTGCTAATCCTTAATTTTCCGGGACACTGCCCCCGGAACGGGCTACCGGCTTGCTAGTGGCTCTCGCATCCTTTGAGACTAACAATTAGCGATGTTAATCCTCGAGGCCTAAGAGAGACGCCTACAGGCATACGTTCTATTATACTTTAACACTCGCAGAAGACCGGGTACTAGTAAACATTCTTTTAATACCTCCCAGCAGCAGTAGCAGCGACGGCAGCGGAATCCGGTGTTGTACTCGACGAGTAACAAGCGGCGCGAACGAGGCCGTCCTCTGCAATTAACGGGCGTAATTACCAGAAAACGGCCGTAGGCCCTGAAGAACGACGTGCCCCCTTTAAAGACACGGTCTGCATATTTTATTCTTAGAATCCTTAAGTCGCGGAGATGAATGAAAGAAATAATCCCGCGATAACGTTCCGCCCGTCCCTCCCGCGACCACCCTCCGCCAGCCCCGGAGAAGAGATTGCTGTTTACACGAAAGTAACCCGCGGTGGCCCACCGGGAAGGCTCCTTTGTGTGTGATTCTTCAGGAAAAGTTCTCGGTAAATACGGTCCGGCGCACCAAAGTTTCCGACGGTATCAGCGGAGCGCTTCTTTACATTTCGAGAGATAAAACGCGGCCGGGAGGCTTTCGACCGAGCCGGATAACGTGCAGACCTGGAGCGTTCCTCAAATTTTATAGGTTTCTCGTAATATACTTGATCAAAGCGGGAGCGATCGAATTTAGTTAGGACGGTAAATACACAAATCCGTTTCAAGAAAACGTCTCTTTGCTTGCACATCGCTTGCGTCACACAATCGACTCGCTACTGTGACGATTGACAATTTATTGTTATAGTTTTAATATATCCTAGTAAATTATATACTCGCGTTATTATACTTTTATCGCATATTTCTGTAGTTTTTTCCTAAAATATTCAAAGTTCACCGAAATTCTCTGAGCGAGTATTTTTTACTGCATATAAAGCTTTGTAACGTGTAAATTCGGTATTCGACACAACTGTATATTCTATCTCCCTATCGTGCAATATTCAAAGTAGCACGTATCTCGCGTTTGATCTTCACGCCTGTCGAAGGGCGCGAACGCATCGCTGATCGTCACGAAGATGCAAGAGCCGAGACTCTATGTGAAACGTACGTGGCAAAGGCGGCGTGTAAATTCAGTAACGACCGGACGAGAACGCGAACCGGGGATAAGGATCGTCGTCTGGACGAGCATAAAGTCGTGACACATCCAATTTCGCGATTCGTCGCGCCGTATGCAAAATGCGGTTCTCACTTTTTACGATTCGACGTCCGAGAGTCGATACGAACCGCAAGGACCCGCGCGCTGCCGGAGATAAAGACCGCCCGTCGCGTCCGCGACTCCCGCCGGTCATTTCGTCGCAATTACGAATCGGTTATCGGCTCCTTATCGATGACGGTAAGTCAACTTGACATTAATCCGTTTGTCAATACGCCGCCCGAGTAATCTGGCGAGGCCAAATGGCTTGGGCGTGAATAATCATTCGCTGACAATCAACGCGCCTCTGACGCAGTTACGCACGTACACTGAACTGCAGAAGTGTTATTAGCGCGACATTAATTTTTAAACACTCGGCAGTTTGATAATCTATTAATTTTTACGAATATTATGCAATTAGAAGCATGCCATACTCGAATATTTCCAACTCTTTGCACCTTAAATTTTATAATTATATTATAATTATATGTATATCTAAATGACTGTCGGCTATACATAATAGCTGTGTTGCATTATACATCCTGATAATAATTCAATCAGAAAAGTGGATTATACAGTGTTTTAACTTTTTCAACACGAATAGAATAATGAGGTTCTAAATCTGAATTGTAAATACACGCAGCGTTTATATAATAATAATTAAATGTTCTGTAGTAAATGTATTATCCTGCGAAAGCAACAAGCTTTCTGCATTAGAGAATCCTAGTTCAGCGTATAGTGCTGCACGAAAGTAGATAATTCGCTACGCTTGTCAGTAGCGATGTTACGTGGGCGGATAACTACGTTGAATGCACACGAAGAGCACTCTCGCATACCCTTTCGTCCCTCGTGTGGCTTTTACTCTCGCTTTCGCTCTCTCCCTCTCTCGCACTCCTCTCTCTCACCCTTCCTGCCGGTCTGTCTTTTTTTCAACCCTAAATTTCATTCCCAGAATCCGTTTCCGCCGCGTGCCTGCTTGTAAAATCAGTACATCCGGGTGTCAAAGCGATGTCACTCGAACGGGTGCCCGGGCACGCATCAGTTTTAAATTCGATCAATGGGTGACGCCAAGCGTAAAACACTTTTAGGGTTGAAACTTTAAAGACCGCCTCTCATAGCAGAGAAAGAGAGAGAGAGAGAGAGAGAGAGAGAGAGAGAGAGAGAGAGAGAGAGA